CCCCTTCCTATCCGTCACTTGAACCCCAGGACTTGACTATGTCTACCACTCTAGCTCAGAGGCTCCAGGCTCAGTAACATCAGCTGAGGACCAGGGCCTTGGTCTGATTCATCACATAGGAACCAAACAATACTTTTTTAGTAGCAGCTTATTGAGACATGATCCATGTTCCATACATTGGAACCATTGAAAACACATAAAAGGCTATTCTCAGAGTTGTGCGACCACATTGTATCAGAGAACATTTTCATCTTCCCCTTGGGACCTGCTCCCTCCCACAAGCAGGACTCATTTCCCCATCCCCACCCCAGACGGTCATCAATCTCCCTCCTGACTCACACCATTTTAGACAGTAGTCACTGCACTAGTGCTCCCCAGTGACACAAGGGCTCCATCAGCCCTCTCCCTGCTCGTGCTTCCAGGTTTCACCCAGCCAGGGATGGTTTCTTTTCTTGACTGTTTTTTACATTCTCTCACACCTCAAAGTACACATCAAAGGCAACCTGAGGCATCAAATCTAGAGAGACCTCCTCTTCCTCAGCTTCTCCTTCCACCACCTGAATAGCTAGCAGGGACACAAAACAAACGGAGACGGCTCTTCTACAGTCTCGTTGTTCTCAGCTGAACAAGGTCATGTGCTCCCACGTGGCCAGATATTCTCCTTAGGTCCAAAGTAGCATTCCTCATGGCAGAGCCATTCTCCTCACACAACATGGCACTGTGCCTCGCACATGCATTCTTTCCATGATTCTGGCCACAAACTGAATCAGACAGGAACCCTGTCAAATCTCCCCATAAGATCAACATTGAACCTAACTTGAATTTGATTTGGTTCTCATCCAGTTTGATTTGCCACCAGAGTCATGGAAAGAATTAAGTTCATGAACCAAGGTACCACAGTCCTAAGTATTGAAAACAGATTCCAAAATAGTAGTCCACAAACTATCTGTACTGGCACAAGATTTCACACATGAGGACACCCTCCTATCTCTTCCCACACAAAATCCCATCTTTCTCCTTTAATAATTAATAGTAATGAAACAGTGGTATGAAATAATCTTTCAAATTACAGTGCCAAAATTTTACACAAGCAATTTTTATACAATTTTTGCAGAAGCAGTACATGTATCTGTGTATGTATGTTTTATTTTTACATTTATACCACTGTAGGCAAGGGTGGTTATAATAATCTACACACAGTTATGAATCTATCATCCTACAAGGCATTGTTCCTTAAAACATTTCAGGGAGACCACATGCAAAGAATGTTTGTTTTTCTTATTTTAACAAAGAATTTTTGAAAGTAAATAAGCCACATGTCCACATCCTTAGAAAGGATAAAGAGCCAGAGTCCAAGAAGGGGCAGCCCTGCAGATGAGCACAGCAGCTTTTCAGGGCGCCTGTGGCAGCAGAAATGAATTGTGTGGGCAGCCAGCAAAATACATAATCCAGACAGCTCGGCTTGTGCCCCAGCTAAATACAGGCTCACTCCACTATCTAGACACCTCCCTGGGATGGAGCGAACACTCGTGACAGAGCCTTCTCTAACCCAAACAGCATCCTCCGTCCTTTATCAGTGGGTCTTTCTTTTCCGGCGTGAAGCTATTCTTTGCACTAATTGCTTCATTTCTGTTGTTTTAAATAGGCAAGAGCCGATCCCGACACAGAACAGATGCCTGTATCTCTGGGATGCTCTTTCCTCATACGGTCTGTCCTGCTGCCGTCACTTGAGTTTGACTTCGCTCTGTCAGTGAAAAATTAGACTTCATTTCAGTATGCTAATAGCAACCTCTCCAAAACAATGTAATCAAGGCCTCATGTGCACCTATAATTTCATCCTTGACATAAGCCTGACAGCTATTTATTGTCTGAAAGGGAAAGGGAAGGAGGGGGAGGGAGAGGGGACTCCGACATGCCCCCCTCCCCCAAAACAAACCCAGCAGCTTTATGTTTGAAGACAGAGTCTTTGCAAAGTCCAAAAAAAAATGGCAATAATCATGGGGTTTACATATGTCTTGTCTTAAGCAATCAAGACAGAGAGTTAACAGAGAAGCACATTCAGATGTGCCAATTCCCAAACTGCCCACCTCTGATGAGCCAGCTGTGAGCCGCAATTGTCACATTATAATTTAGGCAAAGGGAAAAAAAGGCATCAGAATACGCACTGGATCAACATAATTATTCACAGCAGGATGCTGCAGAATTAATTTAGCCAATCAGAATGATACTTGGGGGTTGGGCACAGTCCAGAGATCAAGGAGAGAAAGCAGGGAGCAGAAGAGGGGAAGCAGAGAGGGGCAAGCAGGGGGAGGGGAGCACTGTTTTCCACCCCTCACTCACAGATGGATCATCTGATCTTGAAGGTATTTTGAACACACATACATACAATGTTGTTTTGTTTTCAATTATTTACAAACACCTATACAACACTCACACCACGCCAGTCATTCACTAAGCGCTTTATAAACGTCAGTGTCTCTAATCCTATGACTCTGGGATAAGATACCATTATTACCTTCCTTGGACATAACAAGGCTCAGAGAGGCTCAAAACCCTGCCCGGGACACACAGAGAAAAATGAGCAGGGCAGAAATGAAACCTAAGCAGACTGGCTCCAGAGGTGTGTCATTAACCAGTGTGGTTAAAGGATCAAGCTTCTAAACAAAGCAACTGGCAATCTGAAAGTACACGATGGCTAACAACATGCACTTCGCTGTAACACTGTGTAGATAAAGATTCGCCATCCTAGATTCCTTGAAGCTGGTTTTTCCAAGGATGGCAGCACTCTGGCAGCACTAAATGCAGTTGCTATACTGTGCTCTGCAGCTATCCTTAGAACCTGACTTTCCAAACTAGAAAGAGTAGCGACCTGGGAACCTCCAGGAGTCACAATGGAGCAGCCTCAACCTTGGGATAGTACTTGGCCTCCCTTCAAGTACTATATTCCTATAGAAAAGCAGCAGACAGGAAGCCAGAAAAGCAATGGCAAAGAAAGGGAAAATGGGCTGTTCTAAGAACCCGGCTGCATCTAAATGCCTGGCACTGAAACACAGATGAAAGGACCAAAGAAGAAATTACAGGTCACAGTAAAACAGCTTCCTGTCTGACTCTGTATCTACAAATACAAGCAATGACATAAAGTGACACTTGCCTTTCCCATAGGCACAAGGTGATTTGAGACTACGGTGGCCTTCTCACTGCCTTGCTTGGAATGCTATGTGAGGGCAGCTCTCAGAGGAGGTAGGCAGAGTCCTGATTTCCATGTAAAAGTTAGGCTTCAGCTTGCATTCACTGCTTCTGGTAATGGGGGGAAATGAGAGGCAGCGGCCCAGGGTTTTATGTCTGGCAATAATGTTTGATCTATGCCATTGTCAATGAGAACTGTGATTTAATCCATAAGGATATAGAGCCTTGTGATGAAAGGAGAATAATGACAAATCCTGATTAACAATCACTGCTACACTAAAGCAGGTTACCATAGTAACCGGGCTGAAATTATACAACAAACTGGGATGCCATACCAGGCAGATTACTCGAGGAAGGGGCCCTTTTCTGAAAGCATTTGGCTTTCTGTATTCACTTGAAATTAAAATGTGAGCGTCTTACTTTCAACTGGTATTAGCTCTCCTCTTTTTCTAAATGCTCCCTCTTCAGTGGTTCTCTGACAAAATGAGGAATAAACATCTACCCACAGGAAATGTAACAAATAGTTAAGCACATTTTCTCCTGAAAGGAGAGGACAAAACAAAGTATGGTGAGGAATCTTCCTTTCATATTATTCGTTTGATAAATCATGCTTAATTCCTTGCCTGTGGGATCTGTGGGGAGTCAAAGTGTGTCCCAGTCAATATTCTACCTCTCACTCTCCACACAGCGAATTTCTCTGTGTTTGCAAGAAAGAGGAGTAACCCAGAGAAAATTAAAGAAGGATCAGAAAGCTATCACTTTTGTTCCCATGGATACTTAATTTTGAATTAGAATTTAAAAATAAGGATATGGTTTTTAAATAATGTTGTTTCTCAGCATCTGCTCAAAATAATGGCAAGAATCTATGCAATGGGAGAATCTGCATTGGTAAACAGCACTTTTAAACTAGTATGAGTATGTTCACAACTGACTTGGGAGGTGAACCTTCATATAACAGATCTTAGCAACCAGCTTAGGAAAAATCTACTGCATTTAAATATCTCTATGTCAAATGCAGAAAAATATCAAATGAAACATTAAAAACAGTCAGAAAAAATCGTAATCCTAAATAATTATCTTAAAGGGATAAAGAGCTGTAAGGGAGAATAAAGAAACTTAAACACCATGGATATCCAATATTCTGCTTTCTAAAACAGAAAAAAAAAAATTAGAGCTTTTTAGTTCTAGATAGCACATCTCCCTGCAGATTTACCTGTAGCCCCGTAGAAAGAACTTGGATTCTAAGACTGAATCCAGTTTTAGGTATCATCTTGCTCATCCACCAGCTGTTAAGACCTCAGTCAAGTCAGGAGCCCTTTAGTTTTGATTTCCTCATCTGGGAGCCATAGGACCTCCTGTGCTTGCCAGGAGAAGTTTCTGAGATATGTAATAACTATTGCACATAAAAATATTCTAAAGAGTGTTTATTGTTTGATAACTGCTAAATCTGGGACTCAATTACTCAACATTTTGTAAATGCCAACTCCATGGTAGGCACAAAACAACCATGATAAATCCATTCCCATAGGGAAAAACAGCTGCCAAGTTTATAGTCACCAGCAAATTCACTTTGTCACTTTAACTTTAGTCCAGGCCAAAACAGACAATTTAAAAAAAATAAACGAAAGCATACATTTGCCAAGGGTAAATTCCTTCACACTGGTTCCATTTATATACCTTTAAGAAACAAAAACAGTACTAACTGCTTTAAAATCTTGGTGCAAGTTATGTGCAGGACAAAGCAGATGTCACTCTCTCAATGTATCTGCTTGTCTCTGCCCGGTGAGCTCTGCACTTCCAATTGGTGAAGCAAAGAGGAAGAAGGGAGAGAGCTGGGGCTTATGAATGTGACATAGCATGTGGATTCTCCCGGCTAGAGCCATATTTCTTGGGTTCACCGATCACCAGGTGGGTAATACTGTGGGAGTCTCAGGAATGTCTTGTGTCTCAGTTTCCTCACCCTGAAATAGGACTGTGGCAGCAGCCCAGCTTCCCAGGGCTGTTGTGAAGATTGCGCCATGAGGGGAAGACACAGGGGAGGCTGGAACAGTGAGTATTTGCTTCTATTTCCATGGGTGTTCAGGGCCCAAGGGCTTAAGATGTGGCAGTGGGGGAAGGATGAATTTCCTTAGTTCATCTTTCTCATTGAGTCTTTGACTTTTTCTTTATTTCTGTTAAGTAAGTATGTGTTTTTTCTCTTTCCTCTTTATTTTCATCTTCAATTGCTCTTTATTTTAGCATTTATTAAATAGAGCTATATGTTCAATGTTATTATTTTAAGACAAAGAAACAGAATACATTTCCCTCTTAAAGAAATTAAGTTGCTCTCTACTTAGGAGATTATTTGTGCGCCTCGGTGACTTCTGAAAAAAAAAAAAAGGTGCTCCCCACCCTGCTACAGGAAAATCAAGATCACAAAATAGAAAAACTGGGACACTGAGCTCTCTGGGGGTGTGTGTTTGGTTGGTTGGTTGGTTGGTTGGTTGGTTAGTTGGTTTTGCTGGTCATACCAAGCTCTTTGCACACTGCAACACAAACGTATCAACATCAAACTCTAAATCTGATAGGGAGATAAAAGGACAGCTAAATATTGAGGATAAACTGGTAGAAATCTGAAAATGAATTAAAAATAAAAATAGTAAATCTCTGAAGACATGCACAGCTCAAGGGCTGGTGAGGGATCCTTTGAGTCTGACAAAACTGCAGAATCAGAAAGTTCTCTGGGACCTTCCCAATACCTTTCTCAGATGCAGATCCCAAGACTCTCACATTGAGAAGTGTCCTTCTTACACCTGAGGACACAGAGCACCTTCATCTCCACAGGCACAGGGAGTGGAAAAGACTCTGGACAGAATGACTCACTAAGCACCCCACCTGATCATGAAGGTCACAGCCCTACTGTCCCATCACACTCGCATGCAGCTGTCCCCCTCCCCACCAAACCTAACCATAAAATCACACAGCTTCCCTGGATTCTTTGAGTCCTCACCTTGAAAACTTCCCATCACATAAAACTTAAATTAAATAAATCTGAGTTCTTTTCCTGTTCATCTTACTTCTATTACAGGTGCCTTGGACACAGGCCAGCAGTGCGTGACGAAAGGCATCTGCTCTTTCCTGCACTCCTCAGTGGAAAACATGCACTCTTTATATGTGACTATCCAGAACATAAGCTCGGTCTGCATTTTGGACTAGGACACACTGATGAACACCTTTGTCGTTCTATGGTACAGACAAAAATGTATTTTTAAAGTCAAAAACTTGTAGAATATTGCTACACTATCCAATATTCAGATGTTCTTAAAATGTATTAGCAAATCTGGAACCAGGTATGGTGGTGCAGGAAGGCTGAAGTAGGAGGACTGAAAGTTCAAGTCCAGTCTGGGCTACTTATTGACTTACTAAAACCTTTTCTTAAACTTAAAAAAAAAAAAGGAAAAAATAAAAACCTACACTCAAACCCAACCATCCTTTTGGCATCATCTAGCCAAATATGCAAAATTCAAATTGCTATTACTAATAAGGTAGTAATGAAAACCTTTAAAATGATGGAATCTTGGTGGCCTAGTAGGCCACCAGTAAGGAGGCCCAGTCCACAGGCCTAGCCCTGGCCATGCTCAGCCTCTACCTGCATGTGTGCAGACGCAAACCTGGGGTACCTCTTGGCTATCTATTTTTGGGGACTGGCTCTATTGTGACTACAGCTCTGCTGCTAACATGAATCCATATCTCTCCAGATAAATGACCCACCCCACGGTGTGCCTCTGGGCTGGTACAGTTACACTAAGATGGGTGTGGGGTTTTCGTGCAAGTGACTTTTATTCAGATAAAAGGATGAAATAAATCAGTGATGAGAATCCTCTTTTTCCAAGAATTATACAAGAGAAAAAAAAATGTTCTTAGAACCTTTTGATGCATTCAAAATGTAAATAGATTAATTTAGTCCCATAGGAAAATACATTCTATTCCTACAATTCAGGCTACCTACTATATTGAATAAAAGAATGTCACTGAAAAAAGTGACATATGTGAGAAGCAAAATTATGAAAACAGCATTTTAATTTCTCATCGTAGGAGAGAGAAAACGGCTACATTTCGGAAGTTGGTGGACAGTGTGTCTCAGAGGCCACTGGCTACTCATCGCTGACACTGCAAGAAGGTTCCAATGCCACTGTGAGCTGCTCCCTCGCCCTCCTGGTGTGCACCCGTGAACTAACTCTTAAGGGAACTCTGCGTTCAGATCTCCCACCTCTAGCTACGCCGCTCAGGATGCATCACAGTCGCCCTCTCCTGAGCATCCAATTTCTCACCTACCACTGACAAAGCACTCCAGGAATCCTGCCCCCAAGATGCCAGCCTTTACATCATCTATGCACAGCCCCATGACCCCATGAGTAAGCTCCACACTAAGAAGAACTACATTCCAGCCCCTGCCACCTTGCAGGTTAACTGTGCAGCCTCACATGTGTTACTGACCTCTCTGATCTTCAGTTTCGATTTATGAAAAGCAGACAATAATAATGCCTCTGCTTTTATTTTTAAGAAGATCAAATAAAATAATAAGTAAACACATATCTCTAAAACTATAAAACTTTATGTTTCTTTGAGAGAATATTATACCTAGTAATTAAAGTAGTAACATGCAGTAATGGTTTTCAAATTTCTGAGCAGGAAGTTCTTTAAAAGAAGGATGGAAAGCTGAGGCAGGAAGATCACAAGTTTAAGCCCAGTTTGGATACTTTAGTGACTTAATGAGACACTGTCTCAAAACAGAAATTAAAACTGGTGTGAAAGCCCTGAGTTTGACCTGCAGTAATAAAAAAAAAAAAAGGTAAGGAAAGAACAGGAGGCCCCATCTAGACTCTGGGCCCCTCATGCCTTCTGGCCACCAACACTTATTTAGGGCTCCTCTCTCTTTTACTCCTAGGTACGGAATGCCCCCCAAGGGCCTGTGAGCGAAAGGTTTCCTCCCACCCTGCCCGCCCACGTGTGGTGCTACCAGGAGGTGGCAGAGCCTCTGGAAGGTTCTGGGGTCACTGGGGACATGACCTGGAAAGGAAGGAATGGGGTCTTCCTTTTTTGCCCTCTTCCACATGACCCTCGCCATCGCCATCCAGAATGCCGGCCAAGGCTTTGCCTGCTCCTGTCTGAGACCCTTGGCTCGGTCAGCACCGTTTCCATCGTGAAGAAAGACACAAATAGTGTACAGTTTACACTTGTCCCTAATTTTTCATTTATTACACTTTCCACAGTCATAAGAGACATGCATGTTCTGGGGCTGCTTAGCATCTGCACAGCTTAGCAGCCCCATGGGATGAACCCTGACTCTTGGGTGCAGAGAAAAAGGACAGTGAATATGCAGAACGGGAGCACAGCCAGGCTGAGGTTGAACGAATCTGCAGAGAAACTTTAGGCCTTGAGCCCACACTCTGTCTCCCAGTAGCTCATCTCCTGGAATGTGATGAGATGGATGTGGAGGCACCAGGGCAGCAGGATGCTAAGACCCCTAAGGTGGATCCCCAGGGGAGGACAAGAGACAAACCTGGGGTCCTCACTGGTCAGCCGACAGTGCAGTCCTGCACTGGACTCAATGGCCAGGAGGGGAACCTCAGATCTGACAGCAGTAGAAAGGAACATTAAGTGGCCCAAGGGGTCACATGAGCTGGCCCTCAAGGAAACAGCTTCTTGGCAGATCCTTCCAGGCACAGCTTGTGTGGGCCCCAAGGCCTGCACAGCCCAACCCTCTACTGCTCAGGCTTTCTTTAGTACTGAGATGCTGAGGGTCTGATTCTTCCCCCTCACAGTCTTGTGCTGCCTGGAGCCCCTGTGCCTGGCAAGCGCAGCAGTGGATCGAGTAGTTTAATTCTAAGTAAAAGATGTCACATGCAAATTTGCCTTTTTTGAAGATGTTTTAAAATCTAAAGCCAATGGGGGAAAGTGGACGCAGCATCCCAGCCTCAGCCCCCGGCCTTGCTGCTGTAGACGAGGCAGCATGGCACACGACCCCTGAGGATTGTGGGCTCCCTGGCTCTGTGATTATTACATGAAGCATCTGAGGATTGTACCTTCCTGCGTGGTTAGTTGTGCCTTTATGAAAAATTCTAGTGTCATTAGGTCCATGAAACATGTCAGAGATGAAGTTCTAAGAGCTATGTCATCTTGCCAGTTTGAGTGTACACTGGCAGGTGTTGGGTGAACCACAGGATGTTTGACTGGCTTGGCTCAAAAAATCAGCCATGTTTCAATTTAAGTAAAGTTAGTACGAGGCATGTGCAGAATGTTGCTGTCAACTTGTAGTGGGCTGCTGTGCATGTTATAAGCTGGGAAAGAGCCACATGTCTGCCTTGCTGAAGTATAAATTTAAGAGTGATCATGTATATTAAATGCCTAGTATAACCAATAGCACGTTAGTTACATGCCAGTACAACTAATTGAAATGATGAATATTAACTGTTGGTAATATTACTGGTACTGTTTTTCAGCACAATGAAATTCTTCTTCCTGTCTAACATACAATGGAGCAAAACAGCACTGTAGGTAGAACAGAACTGGCAAAACTGTCACACCATGTAAAATGCAATGTCTTCTGTCCCCTTAGAGATTTAGATCACAATGGTTAAAATGTAGAACACTTCCTCTGGCCACTGGGCCTCTGTCTGAAGGAAGCAACCCCCAGTGATGAACCTGTGCCAGCTGAGGGAGGCAGTATAGTAAGTACATTCATCTAGGAGATTTTAAAAGAAAAAGAGAAGTTATTTGCTGAAAGAGTGAAACATAAATACCAAAGGTATACTACTGAGTCCAAAAGTAAAGATACCTGGTTTATTAATTTTCCCTGGGATATTCCTACCCTATGCTCTTCTCTACCTTAAAGGAAAGCTGAGGTCAGATTTACATCAAATTTAAATGTAATTGCAAAATTTGTACATTGAAGCTCCTTCATTGGTTCCCTTGGCAACAGTTCTAACTTTTGGAGCCACCCTGGATACAGAGCATTCCGGCAAGAGTTCTTCTGGGTTGATTTCTTAGAAAGCCTATGCTACAATCAGAGCACAACTTGTAAGCCAGCATTTGAGTAGAACATGGAATGACATATTTAAACAAAGAATTAAAGTGGCTTCATCTCAGGCATATTTCAACCAAACATTTGCTGTGTTCTGCCCAAGGAAAAGACTTCTTTCATACCTCTCTAAACTGGCCAGGCTTTTCCTGGGTCACTGTCAGACTTCTGAGTCCTGACACAGAAGTTGTGATGGTTTAGTGACCACACAATGGTCACAGCCATGGGTAGATCTAGACCAGAGTCCAGGCAAGACAATGGACCTCATAGCCCAAAAGTCCCTGAGCAGGAAACAACACCAAGCAGTGCTAGTGTGGGGTGTGTGTATGTGTGTGTGTGTGTGTGTGTGTGTGTGTGTGTGTGTGACACCAACATGGATATGTCACACTATCACCTGTACTTAAGATCAACACTGACACACTTTAAAATTCTCACTTTCTACCAACCCATTGGGCTGAGAAGCTACTATCTGCAGTTTGTTAACTCAAGCAAGGTCACACTGATGAAGTAAAGTGACATCTGTGTTTCTAAGTGGTCAACCCCAGGATACAGAGAGCAATTTTTCTTGTTTCCTAATACAGTACAAGCAACAGACTTGCACCTGAAATTTGTGACATTCACTTCAGCAGAACGACAGAGATGTAGAGGGAGGGAAGAAGAGATGCAGGAAGCCAGCCAGCATGGAAAAGGCATTTTATAATTTATCTCAACAGAAGTTCTTTCAAGACAGGGTAGACTGGTGGGTGAGGACAGATATCACATGAGATTTCTTCTCAAAAAGGCACCGTCATAATAGTGGCTCCCATTTCTGAGCACTCAGCAAAGGCCAGGCGCAAGCCTCACACACTTCACCCCACACATCTGGTTTTCAGCTGAACACTACCCCTAGACATGGTGTTTTCTCAGTGTTAAGGCTGCAAACACTCACATATATGTAGATCCAGGCTAATCGGGGTACATAGGTGGCAGGCAGTGAAGTCTAACTTACTAGGTGAACCTGACATCTCTCCTCCAGTGTCCCATGCAGGGAAGCCTAGGATCTTGCCACATGCTTGCCCCTCCCCCAGGACCTTGACACTGCAGCTCTGAGGCAGGAAATGCACGTAGCTCTGGACTGAGCATCTTGTACGTAGGCAGTACAGGAGCCAGATGCCCTGTGGATTGTCCTCTTCCTAATTCATGTCAATAATGTGAACCTGATAGCACTGTCATGCAGCTTCAAAGATCTAGGATGTAAAACAAACATGTAGCTGACACTCCATCACAGCAATCCCCACCCTCACAGCCTCCTTGATCGTCCATGGAAACACAAGACTCAAAATGTCCACCTTGGTGACAATGGACCCAGGGACTACAGGCTTCTTCCTGGAGGACTCACAGGCTGATCTCATCACTGCACTCCTCATAAACAAAGTATTATATACCCAAGGCCTGCTATGGAACATTCCAAGCTCCAGTCACCTAAGCCTCATTCCCCTGCAGTATGGGGTCCATCTAGACTAAAAGTCAAAAAACCTATCTTTGTGAGCTCACTCAGCAACCTGGCTAGCTTATAACACTGGATGAACAGGTGAAGCTTTCTGCCTCTGGCACAGTATCTGGTAAGCAGCAAGCCCTCATGATAGTATTTAGCATCTCATTACTGCTCCACATCTTGCAGAATTGTTGTTGGGCTTTTACGTGTCCCAGCGATGGTGCTCAGTCAGTCTATTGGAACAGCAGCCCTCATATTTCAGATGTGACTACAGGGCTCAATGGATGGCAGATGCTCTTTGTACTTGGGTGTGTTAAATGCCACTCCACTTTCTATGGGATGAATTTTGTATTTCCTAAAATTCATATGTTGATGCCTAAATCCCCAGTGTGATGCTTTTAAGAGGTGGGACCTTCGGTGACTTAGGTCATGAGGGTAGAACCCTCATAATAGGATTAGTGACCTTACATGAAGATAAAAAGAGATCTCTCTCTTCTTTCTTCCCCCTCCCTCTCTCTGCTTCCACTCCTCCTTCACCCTCTCTTCCTTTCTCTCTTCTTGTCAGCAAGAAGGTAGCCATCTGTAAATTCAGACACTGAATCTATAAGCACCTTGATCTTGGACTTCAGCCTCTAAACCTTTGAGAAATAGATGTCTGATTTTTCAACCTCCTGATCTATGGCATTCTGCTATTGCAGCCCAAACTGACTAAGAAGTAACTGCAGCCAGGAACTGGTCTTGAGGGTGGGAGGTCCAAGGAAAGGCAAAGATGCTACAGGGTATCAAGCAACGAAGCCATCAGAAGGTGGCCCAGCAGAGCTATAAGTAAGGATCTGGCACAATTAATGTCAGATGAACATCAGAGTTCAAATTTGCCTTTTGAAAGGCTAAACTTTACTTCTTCCAGTACAATTCCCTATTTACAGAATGACCAGGACAAATGTCACTTCACTGAAAATCAAACTCAGATAAATGAAAAATAACAATCAACCTTGAGCATTTTATTGCTAAGGTGGGAACAATTTCGCTCCATGTGATCCAGGATGCAAGATAACATGTCAGTTTCCCCTGTCATTCCCTTTATTAATCAGGAAACCAAAAAAACTC